AGTTGGACGAAGAGCCTACCCAAAAAAAAAAAAAATACTGTACTAGAAAGGGGTCTTGTTCTTGTTTTGACCCCCTCCCCCAAAGATCAGATCAGTGTGCACTCCCTCCTCAACACAGGCCTCCCGACACACATGCACAGCAGTAACTGGTTTTTCATTTTTCGTTGTCTAGCCCTTTGAAAAAGAGCTCATAGAAAACCTTAGATTTTGAGGAAAAAAGATGGGGAGATTGCCTCACAACAGTTTAAAGAACGATACAGTTAAGGAGTGATAGGAGTATATTCTAATTACTGTGCAGCCATCCTTGGGATCTTGGGTGACTCTTTCAGTCTTTCAAGCCTCAACTTCCTCATCCTTAAAATGGGTACATTAAATTTGCATGTTTGCATCGTGCTAAATGTTGGGCTAGATATGACTTTTGGTGACTCATGGTCCTGATCTTTGAGGAGCTCATTCTTGGAGCACGAGGCAGGGAGGACACAGACAACAAATAGACAGGACACAGTGAGTGGTTTTGGTGCCTCGTCTCCCTCCCTTCTCCCTAGGCCTCTCTGCTTTAACATCCTGGCCTTCTATTTCTCAAAGAGTATTAGGTTCCCTCCTACCACCTGTAGTCCCTAGATCTGGAATTTATGTCCCACCGCCTTCATCTGGTGTTGACTCCTACTTCACTCCCAACTCAAGTGTCCATCCCTTGTGAGAGGCTCCCAAACCCCAGGCTGTGTTGGCATCCTGTATGGTAAACTCTCATGGCAGTTTGTAACAGACTTTTATATGACTGCCTGAATGTCTTTTCCTTTTCCAACTGTGATCTTCATGTGAGTAGGAGCTCTTTTTGTGTTTATCCAAAATGGTTTCCCGCAGGGGCTTAGCATATGATTGGTATATGGCAGAATATGCTCAGAAAAATGCTTGCTGAATAAATGAATGAGTCTGTGAATGCAGATGCTACCATGGGAACCCAGAGGAGGGAACCATTAATTTGCTCCAGGGCATTGGAGAAGACCTCATGGGGAGGAAACTTGAACCAGACCTTGAAAGTGAGCCCAGTTCCCCAGACAAGGTAGATCACCAGCACCTTTAGACACATAGAAAGGTGACAGGTGAAAGAACTCTTGAGAAGACACTGTCTTGTTCTGTGCTGGCTGAGCATCGGCTGTGTTTAGCAATCACTGGAGACTTGGCTGAATGGTTGAAGATTTTTACAGACCGTGTTATAAAATGTAAGACATAATCATGGAGGCAATGAGCACCCCTAAAGACCTAAAAAACAGAAATAAGGGAATGGCATTACCGGACTGCATTTCAGGACAATCACTTTGGCAATAAGTGGGTGATGGATTAGATGATAGAGTTATTGGAAGCATGGAGATCTGTTAGCAACTAGAGTGCAGACAGACAGATATACTAAATAAGAGCCTCAGCTAAGCCAATGGCTGTGGAGTGGAGGAGAGGACATTGAAAGGAAGCTGAATAGACAAGGTTTGGTTGGTGAATTGAATATTTGATTGTATACCCAATTGCCTAAATTATTAAGCGTGTTTACGTTGTGAGATATAGTGTTCAGGCTGGATTCTATTCTGAAACAAGAATTTGAGTGCCTGTGGTTTATTTTGGAGGTAATCCCAGGATGCTCTTGTCAGGAGACAGGAAAGTGAAATGGAAACTCAATAAATGCCAATATGGGTGCGTTAATGTGCAGATTACCACAGGGACCAATGGGGCTTAAATGCACAGGAGACCCTTAAGAGATAGTGTGAAACAATCCTCAGAGTTGCCTTCACTCAAGGAGTAAGGACATAGATATTTAAAACTAAAGTTTTCTGCAAATTGGCTAAGGGCTGTTCCTGGAAGTGTTAACTCGCTCGCATGTTCCATATACCTGGGCTGAGAGATCTCCCAGGCAGGATGTTCTCAGTAGGAAGCCATCATTTTATACAGGGAATGGTGAGTTCAAAGGGGATAGAGGTTTGACGCTGACAACATCTGCAAGGTATGTTATTGTTTTGGGGTGTCTACTCTTCTAGACACTTTAGCGATGTGTTGTAATTTGATTCTCAGAATAACATTATTAGATAAGCATCATTATTTCCCCTTTACAGAAGAGGAAACTGAGTCTTAACCTGGTGAATTAACATGCTCCAAGGAATGCAGTGATTATGGTCTGATACACAACCGACTCCAAATTGATACTCTTAACATCTCACCATGGACGTTCATTTGGATGGGCCAAACGAGTTCTTCCCCTGACTGATAATACTCCATGGCATTTTTATATTCTCTGCTCTTTATTGTCCTCCTAATATTTCTGTCTGGCTAAGACTCCTTGCTTTGATTCTGAGGGTTTTCCTTTAGCATTAGTAAAGTTAATCTACTTTGCACTCAGCACACAGCATGTTTAAGAGAAAGTGTTTGCCTTATAGAATGTTAAAAGGAATATAATTACTGCCTCCAAGGGAATCTTCTCACTGTTTACAAACCCCAGATTATAATTGGTATGCAGCCAATTGTCACAACAACTAAGAGGAGACACACCACATTCTGTGCTGCTTAGGGAGGAATATCTTCCTTTGAGTCCTGTATACTGCCATCTGGATTGTTAAGTATTCCGAAATCTTGTCCTCTCTGGTGGAATGTGACAAGAGCCATGCAGCAAGGCATCTCTCCAAATAAACACAATAAATCTATTTTTAATTTATAAAATTGATTCCTTGGGCACTAGCTCATTTAGAGCTTCACTTGTGAAGTAACTTATATTGTTGGGCAATGTCATACAGCGGCCACTGCTGGTGAAATGCAGTATTATAGCTCAGTGCTATTGACTTGTGTAGGGAACAGGTGTGTGCACCTGGGAGAGGTGTGTAGAGGGTCACCATCGGGAACTCCTCAAGACATTAGCTGTCTCAGAGAAGTGTCACACAAAAGAGGTGAGATCTTTGAGCCAAAATGTATGGGGAACAGTATTAGTATGATTTCAGAATGGCTTTCAAAATAACTTGGAATAGTTCAATAACTTTTCAAAGAAATATGTTACTGGGGCAACTAGTCAGTGTCTTCAACTATATCCTTTAATAATATTTCTTCTGTTGTATTTTCCTCAATACAACTAGAATCATTTAGTATAATACATTATTTAATCTACAGAATAATCATGTGTCATAGGTACTATTATCCCTATTTTACATGGGAAGAAATTTAATAGAAACTGAAAAACTTTCCCAAGGTCACCTACTTAGTCAGTGGCAGAGTTGGGATTTGAAGTGAGAGCCATTTGAGTCTAAAATATGCATTCTTAACCGCTAAGCTATAATGCCTGTGGTTTTATGAGCTGCTGTGTGTTTTGAAAATGCCATAGAATAGGTTGAGTGAAAACAGACGTAGTTAGGTCAGTGGATGGTGGCCATTGAAAGATTTTAGTAAAATCCAAGAGGTTGTGTTAAAGGATGTGTGCTATAGTGTCTTATAGTTTGTGTTGATGTAATTCAGAAGATGATGGAGCGTGATTGCCACGAGCACAGCATCATCTTCAGAGAAGTACCAGATAGGTGTGCAGCCCATTCTGAAGGTGGTAGAATAAACTTCCTATTTATATCTCGGAGAATGAGTCATAGGTGGTTGACTCTAGGTATATCAGAGGGGGAAAAAGTGAACTGATATTTATTCATCACCTTTTGAGTGCTGTCCTTGTACTATTGCTAAGTACTAGAGATAGAACAGTGAGTGAGATGAACATACTCCCAGTCCCAGTGGAGCTAGCATTCTAGCCAAGGAGACATATCTTGGCTTAGCTTGGGTTCTCCAGAAGCATATGTTTCTTAATTTAAATATTTAAGTGTAAATGGCTTAACTGAGTGGTGATTCTAGGAAGTAGGGGGTCTGTGGAAGTGAAATAGGGAAGGGAAAGAAGTCAGTACAAGGTACATTATCTAACAGGTTATCACTGTCATTAACTCAGGTTAAATCCTGCCGGAGAACTCTAGATGACAGTGTAGAACATATCTCAGAGGTGTTGTAATCAAGAGGTAAGGTAGAGGGAGGATCCATCAACTCCTGACAGTCCTCTGTCAAAAATTGTTTTTTTCTTGGTGGTGGGTGGGGGGTGCC